TGCTTCTAAAAGATTAGCAACAAGTTTGTGGTTCAAGATGGGCTGTCCATCTGAACGAAGGAAGTGACGATGTTTCCACAAAGCTCCAAAATCATGTACAACACCAAAAGCATAGCGAGAGTCAGTGAAGATGTTGACAGATTTGTTTTCAGAGAGTTGGCAAGCTCTGGTCAAGGCTATGAGTTCACAGGCCTGAGCTGAACAAGGAGGCAATGAACGAGCCTCAATGGTGGAAGAGGAAGTTACAACTGCATAACCGCTGTGAATAGAGCCAGTGTTAGGATCACGTGAAGATGAGCCATCTACAAAGAGTTCCCAGTCTGGGTGTTCAAGAGGTTCTTGTTGTAAGTCAGGTCTAGGTGTGCAAAGCACTTCAAGTTTAGCTAAACAGTCATGTGGTGTGCCTTCGATAGGTGAAGGTAAGAGTGTAGCTGGATTTAAAACGTTGTAACGTTGGATGGTGATATTTGGCATGTCAAGAAGAGTGGTGTGGTACCTTAACCAACGCGCTGTAGACAAATGAGCAGTTTTTTGCTCGTTTAGAATGTGAGTGACAGCGTGTGGTACAAGCAAGGTCAAATCAGAGTACCCCACAATGTCTCTACTGGCCAATACAGATTTTTCTGCTGCTGCAACAGCGCGCAAACAAAGTGGGAGTCCTGCAGCAACTGGATCAAGTTTTGATGAGAAGTAGGCCACCGGTTTCATGCGGTCACCATGCTTTTGCAACAAAACTGAGGTCATGCATCCCCCCCTTTCATCCACCGCCTGCACAAATGGGCGGGTTGGATCAGGAATTCCTAAGGTGGGGGCTTTCTGCAGCTGTAATTTGAGAGTCTCAAATGCTGACAGTGCAGGTGGTGTCCAAGTCAATTTAGAGCTCATTTGAAGGCCTTTTTCATGACAAACAGCGCGGAGTGGTGTTTCAAGTTCTGCGTAGTTTGGAATGAAATGTCGACAATAACTGCATAACCCTAGGAATGACATGAGCTGCTTTTTTGTTTCAGGAAGAGGAAGAGCAACAATGGCTGTAACACGCGCAGGAGCCAGCTCTCTTCCTTCTGCAGAGATTCTGTGACCCAGAAATGTAACCAGTGGCAACACAAACTGTAGTTTAGACAACGAGGCCTTGTGTCCTTCTGCAGCTAGATACTGCAGGAGGCGGATTATGTGTGTTTTGCATGTTTGTGTATCAGGAGCAGCCAAAAGAAGATCATCAACATATTGAAGAAGTGCACAATCAGGTGGAAGACTGAACCCTGCCAGACTATTTCTCAAAGCCTGGTGGAAAATAGTTGGAGACTCACAATAGCCCTGGCAAAGGCGAGTGAAGGTGTAAGACTTCCCTAAAAACTCAAATGCAAACCAGTACTGGCTGTCTGGATGCACAGAGACACTAAAGAAGGCGTTGGCCAGGTCTATGACTGAAAAGTGGGTGGAGCCAGTTGGTATTTGAGACAAGATCACATAAGGATTAGGGACGATCGGTGCACGAGCTTGAACTGCAGCATTTACAGCTCTAAGATCCTGAACAAACCGCCACTCATCAGGAGGAGTGGGGCGGATCTTTTTCGCTGGAAAAATTGGAGTTCTCACAGGTGAAGTAGGACAAGGAACGATTACACCTGCTTCCAGAAGAGAGTGAAAAACAGGTGTAATGCCTGAGGCTGCCTCAGGTTTCAGTGGATACTGTGGTATTTTTGGTCGATAAGAAGATTTAGGAGTAATTTGGATGGGCTCCTGACCTTTTATCAGACCTACATCATACTTTGTCTGGGCCCACAATGTGGGTGGAACAGCAGAGAGGTCTGGGTTGTCTGAAGTCATCGTAGGCAGTGTTAGTCATGCAGAGGTGTCAATCACTTCTTTGAATGGGGTGACCGGAAGTGATGAAATAAGTGGTTGTCTGTACATCTCCAGAGCAGGAGAGTAAAAACAAGTGTCAAGTGGTTGCCAGTCAGATGCACAATGGGCTCTCAGTGCTAGAGGGCCTAGAGAGCGCCACTGAGCTTCAGGAGGTTTAGCAAGAGAAACATGAGGAAATGAGTCAGGTACTGTGAAATAGCATGTTTGTGGTGTGACATCATCTGTGAGGCATGTCAACAGGAAACATGTGGTCTTTGTCCAGCAGATATCTGTAGTATGTAAGTCAGTTGGTGGTGTTTGCATGAATGAATCTCCTAGCTGATCAGCTGGGTCTGAAGTAACACGAGCAGTGCAATGCAGCTGTTGTTCATGCATGAATGTGCATGAAGGTGGAAGTCTATCTTTGGCCATAGAGAGCAAGGCTACACGCTGACTCTCATCAGTGAGGGACCATTCAAATACAAACAGCAGATCAGGCACTAGTGTCACCAAAGTGTCCACTGAGTGTGTAGACTTTGACACCACTAGTCCTTCAGGGCTACAATCGATGGACAGGTTGAATTTAAGAATTAGATCTCTAGCCAGAAGATTTATTGGACACGTCTGTGAGAGTAGAAACTGATGCGAGTGGGCAGTGTGATCAAAAGGGTCAATCACATTCAGAGGAGCTGTCATTACCTCTGGGATTGCTACACCAGATGCTCCTGTGGAGTGGATAATCTTGCCACACAGTGGAGCATGTGGGAGACATTTCTTCATTATCAGAGATTGAGTGGCCCCTGAGTCCACTAAGAACTTTAGTGGAACATTGTTTACAAGCATTGTGAGCATGGGTAACTTCAAACATGCTGACTGGGTGTATTTAAAATACGTGGAGGTGCATGTGGTATCAGTAGGTGAAACAGCTGGTGTGTGTGTGCGTGTACTTGCTGTTTGGAGACCTGGACCTTCCTCACCACCCCCTCCTAGTCAGGATGAGTGCCCGCCTCGGTGGCCACGACCCCTGGGTGGACCCTGGCTTCGACCAACCGATTGTTGGGAGCCTGGGTGAAAGTTCTGTTCATGGTTCATGGGCCATGGCTCCCGTGGTGGCATTGGTGCTCGATTCTGGAATGGTCGGCCACGCCCTCGCCATGTGGTGCGTTTTTGTGGACAGTCTCTCATCCAATGGTCAGTCCCTCCACACAGGAAGCATGGCTGTGGCCCTCCTGCGTACCTACGTGGTTGTTGCTGTTGTGAGCCTGGCCAAGGGCCAGGGGGTGGTGGTGGGCGTGGAAAAGCTGGAAGCTGTTGTGGTGGGGCAGTGTTCAAGGTCATCTGTTGTGCAGCTTGAAGAAGAGTCAGCTGAGCATTTTCTGCTTGTTTTGTCTTTTTCTTCAATGTTGCAGTTTCTTCGGCTGTGTGCTGTTCCCAGGCGTGTCTGGCATGACGTAGGAGGTCGTTGAGGCGAATGCCAGCTTTCCAGCCTATGTATGTGTTCTGGACAGACTTGCGGATTGTTGGCAAGAATCCATCCATCACACATTGACACAGGATGGTTTCGAAGGCTGAAGCCTGTGCAGCATCACGCCAGTCGTTGTCCGGAAAAGCGATGCCAGAGTGTGTGCGAAACACAGGGATGAGACGATCGATGTACTCTTGAGGGGGTTCACCACTCTTCTGGACCGTGTCCTTGATCTTTGCATATTGAGGCGTCTGTGGAAATGCTGTCTTAACTCTCCTGACAATGTCACCTACAGCTGTCACAAAGTCTTGGTTATCTGCGTGGGCGTATTCGACACGCATCAGCCGTTGGTTGCCAGGCGGGACCTCAAACAGCTGTGCGCCTATGGTGCTTACAAAGTTCATACCATAGACAGCTGTGAGAATCATTTTTAGTTCTGGTATGGTGGGGCGGAGAATACGAACCATGTTGGTGATGGCTTCACCCACAGCGTCTCCTCCTTGGGCCATGTCTGGGAGGTGTTGTTTTGCCAGGCTTGTCAGGTCGCTCAGTGGCCAAGTTCTGAACACCAGTTGTGGTCCGTCAGGTCCACCCACCTCCAGCATCGGCATGGTCGTGGAGTTGTGTTCACCATCTAAAGTCATGGGGGAGCTTATAGAACCGTTGTTGTGCTGTGACTGTTGTAGTCTCTGTATTTCAGCCTCCAGCAGTTTTTCTTTTTCTCTGAAAGCTTTAATCCGCTCCTCTTGCTCTGCAGCTTTGGACCGAGTTATGATTGAAGAACCCTCAGAAAATGATGAAAGTGATGGTGAAGAGTTTGAAGATGTTGATGTTGATGAGGCTGAGCTGATAGCAGGGGATGGTGGTGGTCTGGTTGTAACATCTCTTCCTCCTGCTGCTCCTTGTTCATCCTGTTGCTGAGGGGCAGCTGGCCTTGGTCCAATAAAATCATCATCTGAAGTGAGGATCCAAGCAGGTTTCAGTCCAGGGCGGGTCTCATGTGCTTCCATCTGTGGTGGGCCATAGGGTGGTGGGTCTTTGAGCTCAGCCAGCGAGGGGTAGATCGAGGTGGAGGGTGCGGTGGGAGGAAGAGGTCCGTGGGTCTCCGGTGCATGTGTGAGAGAGGACAGAGGAAAAAGAGAGGTTTTCAGTTTTGTTTTGTTTTGTTTTTTCTCGTCTTTGTCTTTTTGAGTCTCTTGTTCTCTGCATTGTTTCTGTAAATCTTCAACTTTTTGAGACATCTGTAATAATCTGGACTCCGTTTCACCCATCATATTTTTAGACTCATTTTTCCACATTTTAAAAGCTTCCTCATGTCTGTGCATCGTTAAGTAAACCTTTTGAGGTATATTCTTCATCTGAATCATGCTCTGCTTTTGCTGCAATAATTGTTCTTCGAGTTTTTGAATGTCTTCGGTTTCTAAAGATCCATTTTTAGGAAAACCAAATTCGTAATGCCACTGAGAAACGAAACTTAGACAGGAATTTCCGTATAAGCGTTTCATTTTTTCTGCAACCGAACCGTTTGGTATATAATCTAGATTCTTACTTTTTGTCGCCCCCATTTTTATTTTTGTTAGTCACTTTTCTTTAAGACGAAACTATTTTATTTCCTCAGCCCTCTTTATCAAGACGAGCCTACCTCGGCTTTCCTAATGAAAGCTTACCTCGGCTTTCCTAATGAAA